GGGTACATCTCAATTCTCTTAATTGCATCCACATGTCTAACTTGCATTTTGCTTCTGAGTCCCACCCACATAAGATACAAAGAAAAAAATGTGAGAAAATAAGAATCAAGTAAACACGAATTTAGAAACTGAAGCATCCAATCACCGATTGATTTCCAGTAAAGGGGCATGTCGGTTTATAAAACACTTAGGCAAAGGCTGGTATTTTGTATCCTCCAGCCTTCTCACTCCTCAGATCAGGAACAAGAGCTTCGGGACATCATTCAAGATGGTGGGGTGGACGGTAACAACTTCCAAGTCAAGTAAAAATCAAGGAGTGAGAAAAGATCAAATAGGGGAAATAGGATTTACCCAGTAGTCCTCTTTTTCTTTTGCTCCCCTTTCGGGATATTCACAAAGGATTTGTGGGGCTTGTATGAAAGATACTATACAGTTAAACTGCATTTGTCTACACACTCACCGGCCACTTTATTAGGTACACCTGTACAATTGTCTGCACTTCAGTGCAACATTTCTGTCTTAACATCTGTGTTTATGAAGCTGCAAATGTTTCACTTTTTGGTGAAACTGTCATAAATGTATAAATTCAATTATATGTTTATTATTGAGGTCATAGTTAAAGGTGGTGGTGTACTGGGCTACATTTAATTTAGATTTATCTATATTTTTACCCTCCCTAGCTACATACATGAGAGGTCAGAATATTAGGAGCACCTCTGAATATAATGTAGTCCAGTACCACACTACTTTGCACACCAAAAACACAGATGTGAGGGTGGAAGTGTCACATTGAAGTGCATCCAAATGGTACAAGCGTACCTAATAAAGTGGCCAGTGAGTGTATGTACTAATGAGTTGCACAAGTCAAAGTGGTACCACTGTGCATGTATTTTTTTGTTTCCATTTAAAGGCATAAATAGAAATGCAAAATCATACAATGGCACCTGATTTATAGCTGCAGGTGGGCCACTAAGACTAACAAAACTGATGTTTGACCTCTGATAAAAGCAGGTGGAAAATCTACAGCATTGTTTTATCAGACACACACTGAGGAATATTTGCAATGCAACAGTACAATAGTTTCACCACTGTTTCTCCCAATGCCCTTCTGATTGAATATGCATTTTTCTTTCACTAAGATACTTCTAATGGCTCCCAGCAAATTAAACACTTAAATAGGCCTGTTCTATTCTAAAGCACTTATTTGACCTCCATGTCTAAACCAGTTTAGCATCACACCTTAAATCAGCTGAACTCATTTATACCTGTAGGTTTAAACTCAAAAATGTAATTAGATGATCTTGGCAAAAAAAATTCCAGTACAACAAATAAATATTTCCTTTGTCTCCTGTCTCAGGCCTTCTGCTCAGCAGCCTGCCACTGGTTTGGAGTAGTGGCCTGTAAGATTCATGCAGTCAGGATGGGTTTTGCAGTGCCAGTGTGTTGCACGGGACCTGCAGTGTTACTGTTGGGAATGATACTTTTCATAACCCAGGTTCAAAAATTGGAAGGAGCAGAACATGGGAACATCACAGGTAAGTTTATTTTTGCTTACATTGAGAATTGTTTGTGCTCTGCTTACTGTTATTTATATTTATTTTTGTTTGTGCTAATGTGTTTTTAGCAAAAGATCAGAAAGTAGAAAAACATTTATACTTGGTAAATTTTGATAAATCTTTGGCTACAAGTTACTAATATCTGTATAGTGGAAGTCAAATTTACACTGGGAAGCTAATAAACCTAATTAACATCATTTCATTTATTGCCTACATCCTAAAATGTTTAGCAACATTTCCTTTGCAGAGTTTTGTGAGAGCTTGGCCTACCTGGGCAGTAAGAACACAACCCCTGTGGCTTTACTGGAGCTCACAAGGAGCATCTGTCGGACTTCACTTAACAGGTACATGTTTGTGTGTGAGACTAATGCACAACATTTCTCCTTAGTGTATTTTAGCCAATACCATGTATCAGGTTTAAATTGTGTATTTTTCTGTGTATGAGAGTAGTTGTATTCTGTTCATTTCAAGCAGCCTTGGTGGTTTATACACATGTTGTGGGTGAAATGCCACATAACATTATGTTCACAATAATTTTGCAAGTGCCATGTTTGTGCACAAACCATCCTGAACTCCATCCATGTGAACTATCCATGTAGTACGGCATACATTGGCAAATAAAGCAGTCTAAATATTAGTCTTCATGTATATCTGAGCCTGAGTTTTGGTTAAGGGTGGCCGGAACACAGCTTTATACACAACTGCCAAGTGCTGGAAGATCCTGCCTTCAAATGTTCTTGGGGCTCCAGCAGTACTTTCAAATACCTGTTTGGTGCTCAACAAAGTTTTTAATAGTTGTCCTTTTAATATTATCTATGTCTGATTGAAGCTTTCTTAACAAGCCTTTAACCAGATCTGACTGTGCTGTGAATCACTCACAAATCATTTCATAGTTTTTTTGCACTAGTGCACTTTATTGCAATATATCAGGAGTTTTCAACCGGTGGTTTGCAGCCCCCTGGTGGTACATGAAGGCATTGTACATGGTCCCTGGCCATGCATTCAATGTAGCTTCACTGCGGGATTTTTTTTTTTTTTTTTAAATACGTTCATGGTCCCTGGGCATGCAGTTAATGTATCTTCACTGGGGGGTTTTTTTTTTTTTTTTTTAAATACACCTTTGCGTGTTAATTGTTTGTGAATTAATATAAATATATTCAAATAAATGAAAATGAATAAAATTTAGAAAAGCCAGGTGACTTTCAGGACTAAAACAGTGTCCATCTAGTGTGAAATCATTTCCTCATACCCCACAAAAATGGTGCTCAGGTCGCTCATTTGTCACAGTCATGATCTCTGAGTCACAGTCACTTGAAAGCCCCTAAACTATATCAAGGTTTTCATCTTCAGACACATTTATCTTCTTCTCCATAATGCAAGAAAACTGATTTGCTTAATAATGTGGAACAATCTCTTTAAGTAGGTTTCTTTTTAATTAAGGCAATGCACAACCTGAGATTGATACCAATTATCTAGCAATAGGTGAACAATAAAACAAGCACAAAACCAAAGAATAAATGTTTATTTTACTGGAATCCTACTGATACTGTATGTCACTTGCATAATAATTCTGAACACTGTATATATTAAGTCATTTATGTACAGGCAAGTCTATGCACATTTCACCTATGTATACATATAAATGTTTACGGACTCTGTGATTGACAGCTACTACTTACAATGGCCTTTTTCAATGCTGGCACTGGAGGGAGTGTGTATGTGGTCAGGCTTTGTCACATGTACCTACTACGTATGGAAAATCAAGGTAACAAACACACACACACACACCTTTACCTTTTCTTAAAAAGCTATTTCACCCAACTTATGAAAAGTCCCTGTTAATGTTGCTGACACAACAGAAGAGAAAAGAACTGTTTTTCTCCAGTTTGAAGGAAAACTGAGCTCTGAATTATTACGCAGATTAAGAGGGATACAGTCTGAAAAGATATGCTGCTGCTGATATTTTCAAATATAATGTTTCAAATCTACAACCACCACAAACAAAACTTCATTTAAATCATAGCAGCACAAATTGCAGATATCTGAGAACATTCCAATAAAACCACAGCCTACATGGGTAGATACAGCAAGTAATTCAGTTTAACCTAAAACCACAGCCTACTACCAGATGTAAACTGAAAATCACAACATACATCACACATTTTATTACACTTTACATCTGCTAAAAGTTTCATCAACACAGGGTCTCTCATCTAAAATTACATAAGACTATCTATTGTCCACCATGTCTTAGGTCCAGCGTATAGAAAGAACCTCCCAGCTGTTTGTTCGTCGACTCTATGAATCTGCTTTCATTGACCTCTCTCTGTTACTCAACACTAAGATGAAGGTGCCACGGGCTAAAAACCAAGACAGGTGAGAGGGATTGGAAAATACAGTTTCCCTGATAATTTTATTATGTAAATATTCTTATTACAGTATGTGTAGGTCTTAAGCACGTATATGAAAGAACAATATTATCAGCAGACACTGTTATAATAAAAAAGAAAGAAAGATGGAAACACCTTTTTGCATTACCATGTTAGTCTTATGTGTGGTTATTGTATGAATTCATTGGCTCCATGGGCCTGCATAAGTTTGCATGACCAACCAATGCTTGTTTCCTAGATCAGTGAGACATGTATGTTTACAATATGAAAGCTTCAGCTAAGAAACCTCTTCCTTCCCCTCTCCTCCACTCTACAGCCACGATGACATACAAAGCTGTGTGATCTATCTGTGTGCCACTATGTGGCATGAGACCTATGAGGAAATGCTGAAGATTCTCACCTCCATGTTCAGGTCAGAGACACTGTCCCTGCACCTACAGTTCGTAGGTCTACCGGTATCAGATACACAGCAAGCATTTAACACCGTTTTCCATCCATTTAAAGAGCAACTACATCTATACCACTGCAGCAAATCTTGTTCTTGCTGGCCTAATTTCTCATTGAATCAGTGGAAGTCACAAAAAACTAATTTACTGCAGGGATGTGTCAGTACAACGTGACACCACTTGTGGTCAGCCGTGAAGGAGGTGAAACTTTCAACCACAGCTTTCAAGCCTGGTGTTATGTTGCTCTTTGAAAGGTTGCTGCCCCTGGATTAAATGCCCACCTTTTGTTTATGATTTAAGATAATGCTAAACATTTGTGCTGTTTAGCATTTAAAATTTCTATTTACTTCTTGTCATGCTTTCACATCATGTACAAAAAATAATGTATATGCTTTTCCAGGAGTGTTACAATCATGTGTTGTTGTTGTTTGAAGGCTGGACCGTTATCGAGGTGATCCAAAGGAGGAACACAAGGACTGCTTTGACTTTGAGTGTCACATTTATGTGGACGATGCCTTCATGACTGAAGAGGAAACAGGAAAGAGGCTGGTTAATTCTTACGTTAATGACCTGATCGATGTTGTCATTGAGGTTTATAGGTGAGATTATCCATCTATTTACTATACATTCACCTATATAATTATATCTTTCTAAGCAACCATATATCCATCCACCCATTCAGGGTGTTTACCAACAAAGAACCAGATGAAGTGTCGATCATTGAGACTCCCTATGGTGGCAGGCTGATCTTTGTTTTGCCAGAAGGCAACATGCTTTATATTCACCTAAAAGACAAAAGTCTCATCAGGAACAAGAAAAGATGGTCCCAGGTATGGAGTGGTGATGTTTGTGCCTATGCATTGCAGTATATAATACAATTTCACCATGACTATTACTTGACAAGATGCCGTAAAATTTCTGGAGGACAAATACCCTAGATTATACCCATGTTGTGGATATTTACACTACATTAATGTATATGCCTTTCAGATTATGTATATGTACTATCTGCTTGGCTGGAAGGGGTACATTGCCAAGAATCCTCAGAAGATCACAGTAAGATTTTTCTGCCTTTTGTGTAAAACCTCTTAGAATTTTGGCAGTATGATGTAAAATATTTAAAATGCGTAAATCCTCTTTTTGTCCAGCACCAGAATAACCTGTGCAGAGCTAGTCTGGTGTCTTGCGATGGTGAGATTTTCCTGTTGCCTCAGTATGACAATGACAACAAGAGAAGATTCATCTCAGATGAGAACACATATATCCTGGCACTGGACGGAGACACCGACTTCCACCCTAAAGCTGTGATTCTACTTGTAGACAGGTTAGTGACAAATAAATCAAAAGATTATAATATATACAGAAGAATGAGCTATCAACATAAATCACTGATTTGGACATTCAGCCAGTTTTTATAAGTTACTAAATGCCATTTTGATTGACAGGTTGAGGATGTATGACAATGTAGGTGCAGCGTGCGGTAGAATCCATCCTACTGGAATGGGTAAGTACACACTTTAAAATTTAACACTTTTCTCTACTTTGTGTGTTTGTCTTCATTGGGTACAGTTTCTAAGGAGTTCAGTTTTGGGCCTCTATTGCAAAAGGTTTATTATTTGGATCAATCAAGATTGGAGTTGAGCTAACAACAGGACTAAGACCTTGATTTTACTTTAAGTTACTTGTGCTGCGACACAATAAGGAAAAGCAAACCCTCTACTACCAGTACTTTATGACCCAGTTGCATAGGACAACCAACCAAAACCCATGCCCTTAAATGGGAAATATCCCATAAAGTCATGGGATAAATTATTATAACAAAAATTTTCATTCATACCTTGCAAATATTATTTAATTATTGACTCACATGGTTGCTCAGGTGGGAACTTCATTTCACAGTAAACATTATTAATGGGTAATGCTTAGTTTTGTAGCAGTAATCCAAAGGTATTAAAGGTCCTGGCTCATTTCCCAGCACTGCCGTTATCTGTGTTGTCGAGATCCTCCTCATACAGTAAAAAATAAGTCAGATGGTTTTATGAGCTAATTTGTCAAAAGCTAGGAGCAGGCTAATTAAATGTCTGCCTGTGTTACAGACTGGTCCTGTCCAGCACACACTCAATACGTGCTGTGACAGGCCACTGCTTTCATAACCCTAAATACAAATGACTGGCAAGAGATCATTCAAAAAATTAGCATATGTATATTTTCACTGCTGAAGACCGTCTCCCATGTCTTCTGTCGTCCTCTATTTCTTCCTTTCTTCCATTTTTCTCCCTGCCTGCCCTCCCAGGTCCGATGGTGTGGTACCAGAAGTTTGAGTATGCAGTAGGCCACTGGCTACAGAAGACAGCAGAGCATGTATTTGGCTCTGTACTGTGCAGCCCAGGATGTTTCAGTCTGTTTAGAGGGTCTGCCTTGATGGATGACAATGTTTTAAAAAGATACACAACAACTTCAACCAGAGCTGCTGAATATGTGCAGTATGACCAAGGTTGGCGCACACAGATGTTTCACCTCTCCTAGTTTTGTCTCTTTGCCTTTGTTCTTTGACTACTCACATCCATTTCACACATCTCTTCTTTGCCTTGTTGGTCCACATACACATTTCTAGGGGAGGACCGCTGGCTGTGTACTTTGTTACTGCAGGAAGGCTGGCGTGTCGAATACAACGCTGCATCAGATGCATACACCAACTCACCACAGGAGTTCAAGGAGTTTTACAACCAGAGGAGACGATGGGGACCCTCTACACTGGCCAATACACTGGACCTCCTGCACAAGTCACTACTATTTATAGTTATATAATAGTGGGGTTTTCACTCCATGGGCAGTTGATTCTTAATTTAAGAGACTGAAAAAAAAAATCTAAATCTATGATCTTTAATTTTGATTCTAATTTCTAGTGTCAACCTATACTTGAACATTTTACTGATAATTAACTCTTATATTTCTGACTTCTGAATTGCAGTGGTGGCGAGACTGTGAAGAGAAACTCGTCCATCTCCAGGCTTTACATCTTCTACCAGATGTTTACAGTTGGTTCCTCAATCCTGGGACCAGCCTCTGTGACTCTCATGATAGCAGGTACAGCAGGTCCAGGTTCATATTAGTTGTGGTCATTTGATGACTGTAGCAGTGTAAACACTGGCTTCTCTTCTGTGTCCCTACATCTCTCATTAACTGTTTCACCTCATCATAATTTTTAGTAAGTCACTAAGACTGAATACTTCAATCAGCTCTGTCTCTTTCTGCATTTAAATGAACTTAATAGCTAGAAACAAATTTTGATTTATTACTCAGTGTAGCTGTTAATAAACAAGTTTCTGCTTATTAAATTTGTTCAACCTTAGCAAGATTTTCTCTGAAACCTGTGAATTAGTCTCATCAACTTCACTACCAAACACGGCAGTCATGCTGACTCAATGAAGCATTAAATGGAGTTTATGACATTGACATTTGAATTACTTGAGTCACTAAACAAATTCCAGTAGGAAATGTCAACCTTGTCCCTCAGCAGCTATGGTGTCCTGTCTTCTATTTCAAAACTGCTACTGTAAAATAAGTTACACAATCACTAGTTGAGTGATTGGTTTCAAAGGGCATCACACACTTTATTTTCTTGTTTAGGGTCCAGGGTCTTATCATGAACAAACAAAATGCATTGAAATCTCCATTGGCTCCTATGCACTGCGTGATAATTTATGCAGGTACATTGCACATTAGACAGGTTTAATAAAATCTTTGCATCTGACTGTACATGCCAAAATGTGCAATAAATGCATATGCAGTAGAGTTACACACACTTATTGTAATACTTGTCACAATTTTATGATCAGAATTCTCACACAGCCAATCATTGGTTATCTGTTTCAATGGAATGAATGGACTGGCATATAGTATATGAAGACTAAAACTAGTTTTGATAAAATAGGCACATGCTTGCTTAAATCACAACAGACTTCAGAACAAATTGCAACGGTGACTGCTGGAAACCTGTAGCCATCATTTTCTGTAATAATCCCTTCATCCAAGTCCATCTACCTGCATCCCCCACCCTCCTTTTCCTGACAGGTGCTTTCCAGTTTGTCTTCGGCCTCTCTGGAACAAATTCCATCATTGTCGCCAGCGTTCCTCCCGTCTTCTACATCATCGTCTGTTTTATAGCCAAGACTAATAACCAAATAACCATCGCTGGCATTATGAGTGTTCTGTATGCATTCCTCATGACCGCATCTTTCTTTTCCATCATTGGTGGGTAAAAACTCAGTTTTTGGTTGTTGTTTTTTTTTGGCAAATGTAACTTAAATGCACATATACACAACACCTTCCTTTTTAGGTGACATGGTGATTCAGGGCACCTTCCTGACCCCTACTGGCTTGTTTTTGGTTTCTATGACAATCATGTACTTCATTACAGCGTTACTACACCCAGAGGAGTTTGGTAGGATTACTTTACATTACTCTAAATATTATTTCCCACATTTTTCTGTTACGTTGATAGCTTCGTCATCTTATCTTAGTTTTATGCTACATTATTTTCTTCTACAGGGTTGATTATCTATGGTCTGATGTATTTCATCTGTATCCCCAGTGGATACCTCCTACTCACCATCTACTCCCTGGTTAACATGAACAATGTGTCCTGGGGCACAAGGGAATCCAACAAGTAATGCACTGATACTCAGCAGATGGATTAGTAACACTTTTGGATGCCAACAGTCATTTTTATTATTGTTTCATCTTTTAATTATTTCACTTTTAATTCATGATGTTATGAGAGAGGCAGCTAATCCTGATAATTGTCATAAATGTATGAATTCCATTATATGTTTATTATTGAGGTCATAGTTAAAGGTGGTGTTGTACTGGATTATGTTTAGAGGTGTCTCTATATTTTTGTCCTCCCCAGCTACATATACAGTATGAGAGGGTCAGAATGTTAGGAACACCTAATAAAGTGGCACACAAACACATCCCTGAGGAGCAGCATGCTAATTATATTATCCATCCATTCATTATCTGTACCACTTAACCTGAAGGGGGTTGTTGGGGGGCTGGACCCAAACCCAGCTGACACTGCCAATTTAAGTTTCATAATGGGAGCAGGGTGTTAAACAAATATTCACATATCCAACACAGATCTGAAGGTAACAGGGAATAAATTTTTCATTTATGCCAATTTGGATCCCCAATAATCACTCACAGTATGTTTCTGTGTTTTATGTGTGTATGTTTTATTTATTTTTTTTGACCATACATCCTTCCTTGTTTCTGGCAGAGGAGAAGGAGTAGTGAAGAAGAACCATAATACTGTGTGTGACAGAACATGTAAACTGTGCTGCTGGGACATGAAGATACAGGTACTGTTGGCAAACAATTACTGACAAGCCATCCCAGCGGATGAACAGATGGACGCATATAATTATTTTATTCTGTTGCTTTACAGGTAACGCAGGAAACAGAGAATCTGATGCTTCAACAGATCACAGGCCAGATTGCACAGCAAGCCCCTCCCCCTCAAAACACCAACCAGGAAATGACTCAAAAGCCAGCCTCACAGACGCAGCCTCAAGCTAAACCCAGTACCATCAAAGTAGTTCCTGATGAAGCTAAGGAACATCCTAGTGAGAAACCAAAGAGGAAGTCAGCAAAAGGCAGTGACACTGCTTCCACTGACAGGTATTTATCTTTCTCTCTTGTGTTTATTGTGAATCCATCTTAGAAGGACTACATATTTGAGCCACTGTCAGAAACCTGTTTTGCTGTTAATAAGCTGCTTTGGTCAAAACTGTTAAGTGACATTTTAACACAAAATCACCTCTACTACTGATGTTAAACATAATACAGAACCATTCAAGTCTCAAACTGAGGACATCTGTTTCTTATTCCTCACTGATAAAACTATGCATGCACTGAAACTATGAAATCCATATAATTGAAAATTCACCAAAATGTATGTGTGCGCGTGCCCAGTGATGACAGTGATGAAAATGAGACTGTATCCCTGAGTGCATCCAGCGATATCGATAATAACTTTATGATTGATGACCTAGTGGAACCAGAGGAGCTACCTGTCAGTGGTAAGAAGCACTATAACTGCGCATTTGTTCTAAATACAGCATTCTGCAATTCACTGTGTAGAAAACAATATGAATGGAATACTATAATGGCATTACTGATGTGTGTTTATGTAGACTGGGTGACACCAGTGAAAGAAGAGTTTTTGAAAAAGTTAACTTATGCCAACATGAAGAGGAATCTACAAGAACAAATACGGTAAATAATTAACACTACACAAAAGAAATGCACATTTGTATGTACTTAATCACCCAGCTTTTGTCACAATATCTACAAAAGCTGTGGTAATACTTGCATTTAAAAAAAACCCCACTGAATACAAAATAATCAACTAGTTTATATCAATTTCTATGCATGTCTGTACTTGTCATTACTAGCGTTAAAATATGAGCTTTAGACAAGCTTGTTATTCACTATAAGGTGTGTGTGTGTATGTGTACAAGCATCAATTACAAGAAACTTTGCGCTTGTGTGTTGTTCATTTTATATTTGTTGTGTCTGAAGTAGCTCTGAAAACACAGAAAGTTATATCACTTAGAACGGCATACTGGAATTGCAATTGCAAATTTACAGTTACAGTAATTGCTGTTCTTCTCTCCTCAGATACACACTCCGGAACAAAAATCATGATGACGTGTGTGAAGATTTGGTCTTAATGTTAACAGACACTCTTAATGGACAGTTGAGTGGATTGGGGCCTGAAGATGTTCTGTCAGAAAGCCAGCTGGACGAGTTAGAAGATGCACTATCAGCGCAGGTGATGACAACTGGTTAAATATACTAGGTCAATAATGCATTGTTGGCAGTTTGGCAGCTAGTTTAGCTTATATTTATTTTAATTCTGTAAAATGTACTCATTTATTACATCACATTCGACTGCTTCTATTTCCAAGGCTTCAAATTTTATGAAAACCAAAGTTAAAACCTACTGTGCTAGTGATTAAAACACTAATATTGATTTTGTTTATCCCCCAGGCTCGACGTATCCTCAAGACCAATCAGATGATGAGATTAGAGAAGAGAGTGACGACAGCAATCAAGAAAACAGTCATCGCCCCACAAGTGCAGAAACTAGATAATGTAAGATGCAGATTCAGACCTTGGTCTGCGAGAAGCAAATGCTGTGCAGGAGGAGCAAACTATAATGCTGAACATCTTTTTCTGTACAGTTAAACAACATACAGTAAATATGTCACTAAAAATGTTTTGCTACAACAGTACTTTACACCTGATCCGAGGGTATGATGACAATGCCAGGTCTTATACTGGGTAACCTTCCGTTTAAATGATTACAGTAATTAAGGTAAATCCAAAAAAATTACCACTCTGAAATATTATTGAAGGATCATGACTGTTTGGCCTCGGGAAGATAAAAATTAACATTTATAAAACAGAGCTAATAAACTGAACAAGTGACCCATTTACAGAAAAAAAAGCAAGTGAAGTTAGCAAACCTGGAGTCTCACTTAAGTTTTCCACCAGCACTATGAATGTTTGTTTGGTGCATTCAATAAAGAGGAAAGATACAGTAGATGAAGACCAGATCATACACTATGACCAATTAATGCAAAACACCGGGTCATTCCACTGTAGTTCCTTTTTCTCTTAATTTAAATAAAGTCAGAAATTTACTAGTGTGTATAAATCCTGTGTTTTAAGGGTGAGCACAAATTCTGGAACAAGGTAATCGAAGACTACTTGAAGCCTATCAAGGAAACTGAAGCGCATAAGGAGGTGGTCATCAGAGAACTAAAGTCGCTGCGTAACAAGGTCAGATGTCTGCATCTAGTGCTTGTACAAGTGTGTGCCTGGTTTTTGTGTTTGGATTACTTTACTACTTTTGCCCACTAACATTAACATTTCATTAGTGAATTCTCCTTCCACCCCACAGGCTGTCTTCCTGTATTTCATCATCAATGTGCTGTGGGTGGTAGCTACCTTCTTCCTGCAGGCGATTGGAAGTGATGTCATCAGCATCCAGATACCCAAATACTTCCCCAATGGAACTCTATCTGATGAATATCTCAAGGTCTGGGCAGACAAACACTCTTAGACTACGTTCACATTACCTGTTGAAGTGAGCAAAATCTGACTTTTGTCCCTCCGAGTGACTCAGATCTGATCTTTCCATAGATGTGTGAATGGAGATGCACATAACTGTTTAATCATTAGCCAACAATAAGAATTCCAACCAATTATGACTATCATTTAAACAGCTTTTAAATATTATGTGTTTGCTGAAAAATAGGCTATAGGGCCTACATATCAATCAACTCATGTGGGCGCACGGTAAAAAACTAATCAGACACGTTTTCCCAGCCTGACCACTCCAGCAGGAGCTATCTGCATCCCTGGGACATCGGTGGCATCTGAGTGGGTATTCTCCATTGCGGGTCTTGCAGTAAACAGACTGTGCACCAGACTATATCCCAGCATGTTGACATGTTGCTGTTTCTGAACAAAAACCAGCAGGCATTTTGGTTTGTTGGAAGTTCTTGATTATTAAGCCAAGAGTGGAGGAGGTTTAGTTACAGCTCTCTCGGTGCTGAAAAATTAATTTCTTATTTTATTAATGTTTACACCTTAAAAATCTGACTACTATTTGCTGTTTATTTCCACAAGGAGATCTAGGCTACTTGTCTTACTCCGTTCACAGTTCAGCAGTTGTGTGATGTGACGCCGTGTTCTGTTCTATTGTTGTCTACATCACTATTTGCACATGAACAAATAAACCCCTTACTACAAAAAAAGTTGTAGCCTATTGTTGTTTAATGGGTAACAGACACTTATCTTATTCCAAATGGTGCATTTTAATCTTGCCAGTTGAGTGTTAGCTATCAGTCAGAAAAAAATTTGAAAATGTGCGTCCCTGTGTGTGAACAAACTAAATCTAAGATCAGATCTGGGCCACTTCCATAGATCCAATTCATATCCGATCTCTGACCATGCTAGCGCTGTGAGAACGTCAGATCAGCATTCAGGTGGTCTCCCTGCTCTGCATACATCACCTGTTGTCATCATTCAGTGTCGGCCCCTCACAGACAAAGCCAAAACTGAGGGAACATATTGCAGCACAGCAGCTTTTGAGGACATTGTGAGATTTGACCATTGCACCAACGATGCTGTTGTTCTTATTCTTGTACTCATGGCAGTTTAGGAACTCAGCGGTTTCACACTGGTGCCAGATACATTTCACTTACAAACATAAATCATCAACACAAATACTATCGGATCTGACAAAAAAAAAAAAGGCCTGTAGTGTGAAAACAGTCTTAGAAACATGCAGCACATACATTTAGAGAAGGACTCATATTTTTGGATGTCAGTACTGCTGTGACTCTGGCTAAAACTTATCACCACTTCTGTCGATTTTTATTGACAGGTGGAGCCTCTCAGTTTGATGTTCCTGTTGTCTTTTGCTATTCTTCTCATTATCCAGTTTCTGGCCATGCTATATCACAGGTACACACACAAACACACGAGTAACGCATCTAATTCTCAACATGTCACATTCTCTTTTGGCTTTTACTACAGCTCTAAAACCAAGTAGGAGTCTTCCTAACATACCTACCTTTGCCACCATGAGCAGGAAAATATTTATTACATTCCTGCCTTCATGCAGAGTTATAATGGCATACTATGGTATATTTATTTCTTGATTCTCGTATATTTTCTACTCATGTTTCATCTTGGTGCCTCTCTACAGGGTCTACACTCTGATCCATGTGGTGTCGTACCGCGGCACAGAGAAAGACTACAAACAGAGAGACGAAGTAAGTAACAACACCATACGCACACACGTTTGTTTTTCATTTGAAATTCTTGCCAGGTACAAGACTTTGCAGAAGCTTGATTATATTAAGGAATGATGCCGCTCAGGCCCCTAAACATAACATTGTTGAAGAAAGAACCAAACTGCCAACAGATTTTTCATAAAAACAAGATAGTAAAGCAGAAGTATACACAACCCTGAACTTCACTAACAGCTAGTTCAGACACAGTGAAGTGGCTTTGCAACAACATGTGTGGTATTATATGGATGGAAATAGTTGCAAGCAAAGTAGGTTACACGTTAGTCTTGACTAGCGCCAGAATAATTCTGCTTTTACAGCATTAATTTACATTTAATAAATGTGTAGTAAATTCTGGCAAGGCGCCATCCATAAAATTAAATGAGCAACAGGAGGCCCCAAACAGAACAACACCAAACATAACAGGTGGCTCCATATACACACAGTGTTCCTTAGTGAGAAGCCTTTAAAGCCAATTATTTAACATATACATAGGACAAGGAAACAAGAAAAGAAAAGGAGGGACAATATCCGAACTACCAGGCATGTATATACAGTATCTAGATTAAAAGCAGACGCAAGTCACACACAGTCTAACAAAAATGTTAGTAACAATAAATAAATGTGAAATTGGAGGGTTAATTTGAATGTGAACTATAACCCTGATTCTATCACTCAGATCTCATACTTAAGTAAAAAAATAGGCTACCTGTACCACAATGTAAAAATACTCTGTTACAAGTAAAAGGTCCTGAATGCAAAATGTTACATAAATGAAAGTACATAGTAAAAGTATTAGCACCAGAATAGCCAAAGCACCCAAAGTTCTCATTCTGCTGATTAGCACATTTCACAGTGTACATTATACTACTGGATCATAATTATTGATGCATTATTGTGTTCCTCATTTTAATGTTGCAGATGATAAAAGGTGAAGGATAGCCTACCAGGGATTAATAAAAGCTTATGATTATACTGTATTGTTTTATTAACCAAATTCTTAAGCAATTAAAGTTATTAAATAATGCATTTGCCTATAAAATGTAATGAAGTTGAAGTATGAAGAAAATTTAAATACTCAAGAAAAGTACTTAAGTAGCCTATTCGTGTAAATGTAGTTTCCTCCACTGAAAAATACAGTCAGCCCCAGGTGGGGGTGTATTTGAGTCACCTGTCCTCCATGATGGCGTCCAGATAAGCACGTCACTTTCCACTGTGATAAATCCTGAGTATCAAAGTTTTTGCTGTCATGTGCTGCGACTTCGTCCTCTCTGCATCCGGTCCAGTTTCGGGATAGCTCGGCCTCTCGTTTCTCCTCAGTCGGTTATTTTGAGCGTTTTGATTATTTTAACCAGCTAATGTTAGTGTAGCTTCGTAATCTCACTAAATGACATAGATAATGTCAATAGGCTGCTGGAAAACTTTCTAACTACCAGTTTATTCCATCTTAAAGACCTTGTAAACTTGATAGCATTTAAATGGAGTGGAAAAGGCCTCCCTTAACAATTTTTTGCGGAGTCCTGACCGCACAGTTGTCGTGGCGTGAAGTCACCAATCAAATCATTGGCAAGTTTCACCTGCGTTTCCTCTCCACAGTGCAATAACACCTGTCACCGCACGGACACTGACATTTACCATATATTGACGACAGAGGGCGCTGTTTCACTGTTTAATAAGCTCAAAGGAAACGCAGGGATCGATTTGGTTGAAAAATAAAAATGAACTGTTGAAGGTTTGACAATAGGGAGTGACCCTGAACGTACAAAATTAATAAAATATTGTAATACCTCAGCTCAATCTTCTGTAAATTGAGCAGCTTTTCAAACGGTTTTGACTCAAAATTTTGGAATATCTGTTAACTGTCTAAATTTGTGATAAGAACAAAAACTAGAACCAACAAACATGGCCACAGAAAAATAGAAACACCCTCATTCTTTTAACAATATATAAAGTCTGTTCACTTACTCATATATATGTATGTATATACACATACAATTTTTTTTTTTTTTTTTTTTTTTTTTGTAACAGGAGGACGATGATGATGGCTTGACTCTAGAGAACCGCAATGGACTTGTCATTACCAGTGATGACCTGTAATCAGCAACAATCAACTGTAACCAGAGAAAACCAACACCCAGCACACACTGGCACTGTCAGACGCAGTAGTCAGCAGGTGTCTCACCGTATTTCTCTTCCACTGAGGAAGTGAATCGAATACTTTTTTCCAGCAACACATATGCACATTTTAATGATCAAACAGCAGAGACTGTAGCCTGCCAGACAGGCTTTCAAAAAAGGAAATGTCTTAATTTAGATGTCAGGAAATAATCTAGTCTACAGATGTTCTGCAGAGGCTGTTTTGCCTTCTGGCTACTGACAGTTGACTGTAGTCCAGCTGAGGATGCACAGTGTCAAAAGGGAAATAAGTTATAACAGATCCAATATCTTTGTTTGACCATTTAAATTAGGAAATGATTTGACATGAGTTCAGGTTTTTTATGATAGGACCTCAGGTAGGACTGTTTTAATGATCATGTGTTTTATTTCAATACATTTGCTCTTGACATTTGTATTTATTGTTTTGGCATATGGCTGAACGTATCAGTTCTACTGGCTAAGTGAACATGTCGGTTGAGACTGCACAACCCATTACACATTAAGAGGGTTGAAAGTAAACATTAAAAAAAAAATCCTTGTAGTAGATACATTTTAAAGAATTGTCAGTGTTTTCAGGGAATCTGTTAGCGATTTTTTTTTTCATGTTTTCATCACAATCAGTTTACTATAAATTGCAACAATGGACTTTGTCTGGATAAAGCAAATCAATGTCTTATGTTCAAAAAAGTTTATCTGAGCTCATTAATTCAGGATTTTAAAATGAGTATTTTATTGAAAAGTATTTTGACTAGATTAATAAACATGATTTTCACATTCTTTATTGTTGAGACTGCAGAAATGTGTTTATTCAACTATGGTCAAAAAGGCAGCTGAACAGTAATAAAACCAAACTGAAAATTTATAACTTGTTACTTTTAGTAATTATATGTTCTATAAAAGACACCAATTCAAAGCATGCACACATTTCCTGAATTTTCATACAGGTGTATGCATATCTAATCTTACCTGGTATGTGGGGTGGTAGGCGAGGAAGGTTTGACTGCAGTGCACCAAAATACAATTTGCCTGCAGTGACGGGGTGTATAGGCTACTGGCATTTAGTGAGACAGGAAAATGAAATGGGATTAATTGGGCGGGTAGTGACTTGTATCCAAAACCTTATTAAAATCTGTTCTGTGCTTTAGGTGTGGTATACTGGCAAAACTAACACAGCAGGTTACATTAACTGAACTGCTAGTGATCCATTCATGCATTCATGACTCTATCTTCTTAAAGGCCAGCTAAAGGTGTAAGGCTCCCTAAAGCAGTAACACTGAAATTTATACACTGATTTGATACTCCTTTAAAAGAACAAAAACAGCCAGAGTTGACCTTTTTTAATGACTCATTCAAATGAATGGAACCACATTAAACAGAGGCAATTGCAAAGCAATCATCCAATATATGTTTGGGGAGGGAGGTTTCAGCTGATGGTGAGGCAGCAATCTGACACCGAGCATGTGTAAAGATCAACACCCATGTCATCACTTTTTTCTGTGGGTGCAGAGCACAAACGGTACAATGCACACTCAGAGTTGTCTAGTCATGCGACAATCTGCATGTTTACAAGCTGGCCTTCTATTCTGGACATATGCTCAAGTCGGTCCGCTGCCATTGTTCCCCAAATGCCCAGTATGTAAAAAGCAACACTTTACCTGAAACTCAATGGATGATGTGTTCAAACTTCCATCACATAATGCAAATGTTTACAATAGGTTGAATAGCCTGTTTGATGCCATTTAAGACATGACAAATTATGTAAGAAATATATGTAGCAAAATTTCAGCTGTTCAGAACATCATTTCACGATCTGCGTCACCTAAAAGCAGCACATATCGGCATTACAAAATGGCTGCCGGTGGTACTGTGACAATCTTCTGTACACGGAAAGTGTGATGTTCTACCCCTCAGAAATGGCTACTAGGAAATAAAACATTTTATCAGATAACTCGTTTTGTTTACTTTATATTAATAAATCTGTAATTAATGTGTGTATCAAACTTATAAACACTTGACAGCTTGTATCGTGATGGAGGTTTCCACCAGTCATCCATCGAGCCCTCTCACCGACACCCAGTAAAGACTACTGCTAGCCCATGAGTGGCAGTCTGTCCTATCAGTTCACAGGTCTGCACTTCAGTAATCAAAAGCTTGGCTGAAGCTGCGTTTGTGTCCTCCTCTGTTGTTGCTATGGCCACCACTGCTGTTCCGGAACCCGTTACCATGGCCACGGTTTCCCCCAAAATTCCGTCCCCTTCCACCTCTGAACCCTCCTCCTCTGTCACTACGGTTACCACTGCCAAAGCCTCTGTCACCACGGTTACTGAGCTGTTTCTCCTCCAGCTCTGGGAGCTCTGTGGCAACAGTCAGCTGCCAGCGGCGGCCGTCCTTCCAGTTCTCCTGTTTAAGGATAAAACAGGATGAAAGGATATTAGCTGAAACATTGTCAAAATATTTATTTTACATTGGCTTATTCATTTTCTCCTATTTAATCTTGAACACAATTAACAGTGCACTGCATATCTTGAACAGATGGGAGCTTTCACTGTTGTTCTCACCTGAATCTCCTTGACTTTGTCAGCTGGGACATCAAAACAAACTCCCTGTTAGACACACAATGAGGGTGAGACGGTGAGTGTTTTTCTTCCTCTTCCTTTCCGAAAAGTCAGCCCATGTGCCTGCTGGGCTCTCAAGATAAGAACCCAAACAGCTTTTACACATTTGTCTATTGTTAACAGATGTTTTGCTGTTTACTTGCTGAGAATAATTATCTCTGTTTTTACTGTGTGGCTGGAGTAGATAGATTCACGTGAACTCAAAAAATACCATTTTTATGAAGAATTTCACAGGGTTATATTTTACATTTGATTTATTAATGGCTTTCTCATTTACTTTTCATTTTTATGTTGTACTCTGTTGGGCCTGTTTTTGTCAAATCACTAATATTAACTATTAAGAATGCTCACTGGCTATCATTTGGGTCGAGCACTTTGTAGCCCCTGTCCCTGCTCTCACTTCCAAACTGAACTCATCCTGGCACAAAGATGTCTCTAAAGTCTTTGCTCAAATGTCACACACATCAGCCGCACTGACACACAGCATAAGCCAGAACTGAAAAAAGTCAGTGTAAGGTCACGTTCTGACTGAGTTTCAAAGGTGTGAAAAAAAACGCAGCCCTCTCCATTCATCTTTATAGGGGACTATAAAGATGAATGCTAGCACCAGCACCACAGTGAGCTCCGGCAAAACAATGCAACCCTGGGTGAAGATAAAGTTGGATCTAGTTCAACTTTCACCACACCAAATGGTGACATCATCCAGCAAAGGTGCTGCTTTGATCAATCATGTATGGGGGACGATTGGCAGCATACATTCTCTATTATATTCTTTTATTATATTGCTGCATTTGTTGCTGCCTAAAGTGTCCTAGATTTTGTGTTACTTATTTGTTACATGCATAATTGCACAATGACTCTGCTGCACATGCGGCTCCCATGCACCATACATTCTGTTATATTCTTATATTTTTTTATTATATTGCTGCATCTGTTGCTGCTTAAAGTGTCTTAGATTTTCTGTTATTTATTTATCTACTTTATATTTTTGTGGCATTCATGTGGACGGCAAAGTAAGAATTTCATTGTACAGGGAAACACGTTTCCTAACTGTGCATATGACAAAATAAACACTTTGAACTTTGAATGTGGACGCCCACGGGAAGAAAAGTTTTGTTTACTTTGTTAGCATGACCATTCACTGCTAATCACTGCTGAATTTGGGTCACAGTTAACACACCATAATGACATGCCAGACATTTTCATTAGTACTGGATGATAAACTGTTTTTTTATTAACCAGTGCTGGCACACTGGTGGTAGAATTGGTGCTATGGTAGAGTAGGCTATGTTAGCAGCATGGCTATCCAAAACACAACGGAAACTCACAGGCTGTAAACGTGAATGAAGCCACTCACATCAGCTCGTCACAACGTGGCCGTATCATACATGCCTACAACACCCTGCAACCCCTCATCCCCCCGAGCTGTAACACAGCAGGGAGTTACATTCTACCGGATTCAGTCTGAATGCTCGATAATGCTCAGATTTCTCTAGATGTATGTTCACGCCAGCAGAATCTCACAAGTCCATGTTTGTGTGTGTACATACTGTTCTGTCTTTGAGGAAGGTCATCCTGTGAATGTGGTTCTCGATCTGTTCTCCAAGATGTTCTTTGATGGTCCTCCAGGCATAACCCAGATTATGCATCTCCTGAGAACACACCAACTGCATGGTGGTGTAACCCTGGAATTGCAACCCAGAAGTAGTAGTTAGGTTGAAGCAGGGTTACACATCACCTACAGGGCAGAGCTGCTGCTACTCATAACTGCAAACTTACAGCATCAGAGTTGAGCAATGACCTCTGCTCTAAACTTGTGGCTCCTGAAATATGGGCAAGGGCAGCAGCTAGTGCGTCAACAGCTCCCCTCTCCTCGATCAGCTTCTCAGCTGACGCTCTGAAGTACCCAATAGCTGTGACTGGAACAGAGTCCAGAAACCTGGACACAGTAAGGAAACAAGATCATAATCTGTTAATTTCTTGCTGTCCAGAAATTAGTTTAGAAGGTTTTGGGAACAGACCGTTTAAAATCTTAGTAACCACTAGGCCACTAATTTACCCAAGTAATAACAGTGGTCCTCATTATTAACCAAATTATGATGAAGTGAAGGGGCTCCACTGTTTTAAATTGTAATCAATCCTTTCACAGTTCCAAATCACAGTTCACTTGGTTCCACCTGTCGTCTCATATTCCCAGAGTTACCCACCTGACAGCATCTTTGCTTGATGACTTGATGATTTCATTGGCAGTGGGAACGCCAACTCGTCTGAATGTAATACCCTGGACAAACAAAATGTTTTTCAGTTTAATCACCAATATAGAATCATCTGCACTAGAGTTGCACAGATTACATATAATGTCCAAAGGCACAATAAAATGTGTTTTTCCTTCCTTCTCCTGTCCTTTCCAACACTATGTGTGGCATAGATGTCACTGAAAGCACAGTTTCTTTTTTTTAGGTTTTGGCACAACTGCGCAAACTATGACTGATCCTGTCACTTTTCTTTCCCCATGTTCTTCTTCAGCCAAATTTAAAAGGGCACGTACTGCTTTATTTTCTACATAACGCAGCTGGTCCTCTTCTTTCCTCTGGTAGAAACAGATGCAGACTCCAGTCCTGCCTGCTCGTCCCGTTCGCCCCGAACGATGGATGTACGACTCCACATCCTGACACCAACCACAGAGACAGCAACATTTGCAGAAAAAGTACAACATCTATATAGCAAAAATATGAATGCAAAGATATATTCAAGTTATAAAATTCATTCCTATTAGTGGCAAACTCATCACACCTTGGGTGGAGAACACTGCACCACCAGGTCAACTTCGGGAATGTCTAACCCACGGGCTGCTACATTGGTGGCAACCAGAACCTCAAAGGCCCCATTCCTGAAGCCCTTCAGCGTCAGCTCTCTCCGTTTCTGTGGAATGTCACCATGAAGGGACTGGGCACTCTGAAAAGAAAAGAAAATAACTTACTATGGTGGTCTTACTGTATTGCTTTATACAGTAATTGCAATTAAAATGTAAAAAGTATTTGCATGTTTTTATGTGTGTTTACCTGCTTAATGGATGCATTCATGGAGAGTTTGTTGGCCTCTTTCTTTGTCTCACAGAATACGATGGTTCGGCCATGGCTGCCGCTGTAAACCTGGATCACATCACCTATCACGGCTGCACGCTGTGACCAGTGGCACGCGATGGCCAGATGCTACAGACGATAGGATAGAGGAAGGAAACAGAAGAGTCACAACTTCATTAATCCTGCTGGCACACTTCACTGTAATTCACTGGGGCTGACAATGCAAAATACAGGTTTTTGTTTTGTTTGTTTTTTTTTTTACACTGAAAATGCAATTTCTGGGAACTTTGAGAGATATAAGCCTAAGAATTTGAATTTCTGAAACACTTGTTAAGTTGCACCCATCACCTCTCTGACACACACCTCAACAGTAGTTGCAGTTTTCTGTGTTTTCTTGCCAATCAGGTCAACATGTTTGCAGCCTGGTTTCATGTATTTCTTGGCCACCTCATAGACCCAAGGGGGGCAGGTGGCTGAAAACAGCAGAGTCTGGGGTTTGGAGTCACTGTCTGAGGAAGAACACACACAGAGACATGTTGTTGTAACTGTAGGCAGAAAATACTTCGGACTTTCAAATACTCCACTATCGTTTTTTTAATCTTCATTTCCCTAATTTTACACACTTGAACACACTAACCCTATCATTTTATCTCATATATATAACTGTTCTTATAGGATGAAGCCAAAATTTCTGCAACCTGTGCTGCAAACCCCATGTCCAGCATTTGGTCTACTTCATCCAGAACAACATGTTTCACTTTGGAGAGGTCGAGTTTATGGTTTTGAATCTAAGCCTAAGAATTTGAATTTCTGAAACACTTGTTAAGTTGCACCCATCACCTCTCTGACACACACCTCAACAGTAGTTGCAGTTTTCTGTGTTTTCTTGCCAATCAGGTCAACATGTTTGCAGCCTGGTTTCATGTATTTCTTGGCCACCTCATAGACCCAAGGGGGGCAGGTGGCTGAAAACAGCAGAGTCTGGGGTTTGGAGTCACTGTCTGAGGAAGAACACACACAGAGACATGTTGTTGTAACTGTAGGCAGAAAATACTTCGGACTTTCAAATACTCCACTATCGTTTTTTTAATCTTCATTTCCCTAATTTTACACACTTGAACACACTAACCCTATCATTTTATCTCATATATATAACTCCCAAATGATTTTGAACACACTAAAACATGAGCACACACACACACTGCAGGAACTTTGTTTTTAGAACATTTCCACATAAATTCACAAACCAGATTTACTTTAATGGTAAATGGTCTTATACAGTGCCTTTCTGTGCACTGCAACACACAAAGTACTTTCACACTATTTGCCCATTCACCCATTTACACTCCCAAGTGCACACACACTCACTTTTACCTTTCTTATATGATGAAGCCAAAATTTCTTCAACCTGTTCTGCAAAACCCATGTCCAGCATTTGGTCTACTTCATCCACAACAACATATTTCACTTTGGAGAGGTCGAGTTTAGAGGTCGAGGTTTTGGATGTGGTCTTTGATGCGACCAGGGGTTCCAACCAGAATGTCAATACCATTACGAATGGCATTGACTAAATGGGATGAGATGAAGGAAGAGAATCCTTGTCAAAACTGATGTATAAATTAAGTTGTAAAAGTGTTTTCAAAACAGCACGTAGAAATCGCATTAGACAACAAATAAAAACATATCATAAGCTGTTATTTATAAGGTCCAAGTGCATTGTTATCTACTCTACAAGTAGGGTCATTGTTAACCCAAAAATTACTTCATAACAACAAATACTCAATGATCTGAGCTATTACTACTTCTTTAAAAGATGATGGTGGGTTTTGCACAAGACTTACTCTGGGGGTTGTATGAGCTGCCTCCATAGAAGCAGGCAATAGCCAGTCTTTTGGAGATGTCTTTGAAGTCCTTAGCGACCTGGATAGCCAACTCTCTGGTTGGAGTTAACACCAGGACCTACAAATCGAAAAGAGGCTCAATCGTACAAAAAAAAAAAAGAAAAAAAAAGCATACTCCAAGCGCACCCATCATGCTGGGACCCTGACTGATACTAATGTGAACATGTATGTGTACGCACCTGAGGAGCCCGGCCTCTGGTCATCTCCACTGAGTCCTTCTGGAGCTTCTCCACCAAAGGGATGGCAAAGGAAAAAGTCTTTCCTGTTCCTGTTCGGGCTTGTGCAATTACATCCTCTCCGTCATATACATGATTAAATGTCTTCACCTGAATATCAAACAGGTAGGTGACTCCCCGAGCTGAGAAAGAGAGTGAAGCGGAGAAGAAGAAAGTGGAACAACAGGACAGGGAGCAAGATGGAGGATCAATGATTTATTTAGCACAGCTCCGGAGACCACTGTGAACACTCTAGCCCCTTTTACCCTGCTCATTCAATGTGGGAGTTTTACACCAGTTTTAAGCCTCCCTGTTCTGTATAAATGATACAGTACTGGCGTGGGAGGTCAGTGTTGATCCTCCAAAATGAAGCAACAAATGGTGATATTTTTGATTTGTGCTAATTCAAATTCTTCAACATATTTGCCTAAAACTACACGCAGAGCACCACTTGCCAGTTTTGGACAGGCATCAGTACACATCTGGCTTCAAGCCACTGCAATTAAAACTATGGTATAATTACTATGGAAATGTTTACCTTCGAGTTTACTGATGGTGACCTGGGAGATCCCGAAGTTCGAGAAGGCCCCTTCCCTCTGCTCTGGCGTCTCATCCTAAACAAATAAACAAAGTTGATCTATACGAGTGTTTTCTTGCTCTACAGCTGGCTTTAAAGCGTCTATTAAAGAAAATGCAAAAAACATGGAAAAAAATGAAAAAAAACATAATAATCAAGGTTAATGTACTATAAACTTAACAAGCAAATTCAGTTAAATAGATTAATTTAAATTTACACAATTTGTAAAACTTTAAAATATTTGAAAACAAGCCGAGTTCTGAAATTTGTAGCTTTACAATTATTTTGTTTTCTTTCTTATTTTAAAAATACTTTAAAATATATTGTACTCTAGGCTTAAGATTACAGAATTTTCTATACAATGTAACAAAATGCAAAAATATATATCACCAAAATGTAAAACCTAAAAAACAAGATTTAGGCACTGCTTCTGTTGTGGTCACCTTGATTTCTCTTTAAGTAACAAACACACTTCGAAGATGCCAGAACAAAAGTTTGGACAACTCCAACAAAAACTGACAAAGAACAGTATTTAATTTGACTTATTTTAAGTTCTCCTGAGAGGAAAAACCATACACAATCAGTCTGCGATTCGTACCGTTTCTTTTTCATTGTCAGTGGCCGAGTCCTCACTTGACTGGGACGGTGTCTGAACAGGGGTGTTTGGGGTGGAAAGTCCATTGGTTGCTGCCTCTGCGATTACTTTCTTTTGCTTCTTCTTTTTTTTTTCTAAACCCCAAGACAAAAGTGGAGACAGAGTATAACCTTCTCTACCAGGGCAAAGCCAGAGAATATGCATTTACATTTATATTATCAAAATGCTGCCAACACCTCTACAACCTTTTCACTATATACCACAAAACAACTTGATGGTTAATAAACAGAGCTTTTCGGTCTATTTAGATCCAAGGAAAAGAAAATATTCCCAATTGGTAACTAAATATTGGTACCACCAACACAGCACTGACCTCTGTGTCTCCTTCAGTGTTCTTCTTAATCTTTTTCTTTGGTGTTTCAACATCATTACTGTTGCCATTCATGTCTGCGGCTTCATCTATTTGGCCATTCACTTGGTCCGCTGCCAGCTGGTCTTTTTTCTTTTTCTTCTTTGGTGCTGGAGGTTCACAGTCCTCCTTCTCCTCCTGGTCTTCCAGCTGCTTCTTCTTCTTCTGCTGCTGCTTCTTGCCCTCCTTGGGCTTTTTCTTTATTCAATTTTTAAGAGAAACAACAAAGGCAAATAGATTATTTTAAATGTTTGGTGTCAAGAACAGCAGTTGAAGCGTTTGCTAGTGACTGTGTGCCGCCCCAACCCTCTGAATAGACAGAGGGCTGACCCCAACCCTAAGCTGACTAGACAGCTTAGGTTGATTGGTGACTCTAAAATGCCCGTACAAGTGAGTGTGGGTGTGTGTGTGGTTGTCCGTCTCTAAGTGTTAGCCCTGTGATAGACTGGCAACCTGTCCAGGGTAGACCCCGCCTCTAGCCCAATGTCAGCAGTGATTGGCACCAGCCCCCCGTGACCTTATTCTTGAATAAGCGGTATAGATACCATGGTCAAGGTCAAGATGTGGACTTTGTTAATTTCTTGTAACTATTAGTATTATTACAACAATTTAGTGATCCTGGAATGGGCTAATAACTGAAGAACTGACAGAAATGAGGATCCTGTAGTGCAAGCTTGATAAGAATTAATAAAAATGCTTTGCCCTTTAATATTTTATGTAATTACACAACAAACCTACCTACCCAGAGGGAGTCTTGCTGTCTGTTTAAAAGATTTGTTCCACATCTAATATTGCACTGTATCTCTCAACTTGAATTTTTAAAATATTAATCTTCATAAGAAATCAGAAATTAAAGTATACTGTTTGCACAACCAAGAATAAATGTTTAATAAGTTAATAATTTATGTAAACAAGTGTGTACACATGAAGTGTATTGCTCTTGATCAACTAACTGAACATCCATCAAGACAAAATTAATCTACAAACCCATTTAGTCTTTATGGATTATTGGAATTGAACTTAGTTTTTTGCACAGGAAACTTGTAATGACTACTATGTAAAGAACACAGTTATTCATGAAAATAAAGGTTTGACAAAACAGTCCCAAATCAATGTAGACTTACTGTAAGTGGCACTTGGGAATGTTTTATGAAGGAATATAATCAACCGGCCATAATCACTATTAACAGCTAAACCAAAGTTATTTTTATAATATAAGAAAGAGAACAAAAACTAATAATAAAATAAAATAAATAAATGAATTAAAACATATAGCCAGGGGCTTATAATAAATCAAATCGTCCAATTGCAGACAAAAGACCTCGGGCTGTGTGTGTACATATATATATGCACGAACGCAATGGGCGCGACCTGATGACGTGTCAGACAGCTGGGCTCCTCAGCTGCTTTTATAACGATAAATATATGTGTGTGCACGGTATATCTGAAAGAAAAAGATGTGGAATTCTTGGTCAATAACTTTATCATTTTGGCAAAATATTATATTCGCAAATGTAAATGGAGTAAAAGGCAACCTCGTTTAGATGCGTTTAGGCATGAAATATCTGCATTTAAAAAATCCCTGGGCTACACGAGTGTTAAAGGAGACCGAGGTCTTTTGTCTGCAATTGGACGATTTGATTTATTATAAGCCCCTGGTTATATGTTTTCATTTATTCATTTATTTTATTATTATTTTTTTGTCCTCTCTCCCTCTCTCTCTTCAATTTATTACTTTGTTCTGTTCAGTTATTAAGGTGTGTGATTTGTTGCTGGGTTCTTAATGGGTTCTGTAGACAATTTTACTTACTTGCCTTGTATGTTTGTAAATATGATGTTCAATAAAAAAAAAAGAAAATGTGTGTGTACAGTATCTTCAAGGTTTTCACGTTAACAACCAGCAGATCCATGGCTTCTATAGTTCGGGTAGTAGCACATGGACATGACATAACAAGTTCTTGCTAGGCTAAGTGGCTGCGCTCACAATGTACGCTAACATTAACATAGCAGTGAATAACACTCGCTTTCTTAATCTGTAGATTATACCACTTGATTACACCATTTATATAATGTTTTAATATCGTTATACTGACTATATAAAGCCTGTCTTACGTTGGCTTGCTAACAGTTAGCCGGCCGATTAGCCGAGGTTTCAGACTAGCGTTAGCAAGCTCAAACACATGTTGTCAAATATGGAGTACCCGGGGCAGGACCACGAACAGGTTACAATGAGGTTTTAGGCTGTGCGAGGTAGCACGACGGCCACTGCTCACCTTTAGGGGTTCAGCTTCAGCGACAGTGTCCACATCTCCCTCCATGATATGATCTGTGTTTTCAAAGAAGATTTTTGATGGCATTTCACTCCCCCGATGGAAACCCTCAGCATAGAAACACAGGAAAACCTACGGACACGCGGAGAACGGCGCGCGCGGAAACGTGCTCAGGTTCTTCTTCTTCTTCTTCTTCTTCTTCTTCTTCTTCTTCTTCTTCTTCTTCTTCTTCTTCTTCTTCTTCTTCTTCTTCTTCTTCTTCCTATTCTTCCTCTTCTTCTGCTGCTGCTTCTTTTTTTAATGTTTTTTTTTAAACAACAGTGCAACTCAATACAAGTTTTTTAAGGACAAATTGTTGCAACAGATGTATAACAGTG